CAAAACAATGATTGCACTCTGCGAGGAACCGTGATTCGCATTTGCGACGGATTAAACAGTTTTTGATGTTTCAAAGTTGAATTTTTGTTTTCCGGAAAGAGGTAAAATGATGAGTAGACGGACAAACATTCAAATAATTGTTGTGATCCAGTTGTTCACCATATATTCTGATCAATGACATTGGGGAACGGAGAGCAGGGGTTTGATAACTTAGATGTCGAAAATTAAAACTTTTAATTGTTGAAAAGTCTTTAAGTTATAATCTGATAGAACAAAACTTCATGTTCAATAATGGAAAGATAGAGCAAAGGGAATCGAAACAAAAAGCTCGAAAATTTTTCTGCTAATATTTGCGTCACATTGACCGAAATAAAGTTTTTTCCAAAAGAAAAAAAAATCCTAATAAGAAAGGTCAATCGATGAAACACTTAATTATTTATTTAAAAATTTGGGAAAAGTTTTCTCGATCTTGTTTGCTTCCACAGGAATTTGAATAGAGTACATGCGTGAAAGTTAGCAAGTTTAAAAGTAAAATATTTTGACGATTGAGTGGGAGATGTGTAATTGCTTTCATTAACATTTCCCTATGATACGTTTGAAATTGATGAGGTTACGTTCGTGAAGAAGAGTAAAAGTTCACGTATAATGTAGAAGGTTGCAAATTGTTGAAATCACCAAATGTGCGCAATCTGTTCGGTTCATTTTGATAATGTAAAATGTATGAATGAATGAGGGAGAGAGAAAGAGAAACTTGACGATTTTTGAAAGTTACTTATTTACTTTTAAATTTTTCGTCACATTTATAGCTGAAGACAAATAGTCCGGCATTGGTAATGGAACCGTTACAGGGATTTCTTCGAGCCGGACGTATTCAGTCTATTTCGCTTCGTCTTGATGGTACTCATAAAGCATCGGTAAGTGGCGCTTTTGTCAGTCCATTTCCTCCCATATATAGAAAAGAGTCGAATTTCTCAATTACTTTCTCTTTACTACTATTACTCCTTCTTCTATATTCCTCCTTCTTTTTCTCTGCTTAGATCTTATCAATTTTGAACTCTTTTTTACTGATAATCTTATCAGTTACATATGTCAAATCATTACGTATCTATTTGACATAGTTTCATGCCAATGCATATTACTCTTATGGTCTTAATGATTCTTTTTTGTTCACAATTTATAAATTGTATAAAACCGCAATTACATTATCAGTAGTTTGGCTATACGGTATTAGCCAAGGATGCAAAATGAAGCATCCTATCAAGTCCCGCGTTCTCTTAGATCGCATTACTATTGCTAAATCTCATTGTTGGTCTCACTAGTTTCTTGTTTCTCTATCAAAATTTATATGAAAATTTCTAAGCAAACTTCAAAAAAAACACTGAAAGCAGAGAAGAAAGATTTTTTTCTTTCAAAATTATAATTTTTTAGAAGCGATCAATAGAAATTTACTGTCGTCCAGTGGATAAAAGGACAGAGGCTGAGTGTCGTCGATGGTTTCTAGCACCAATAGAAATGGGAGAATCGAATGATCAACTTGCACAAACATTGCGAATCAAAACAAGCACTGGTTTCACACCTCTTGAGGTAACCTAGTTCTAGTTTGATGTGTATCCTACTAGCTTTTAAAAAGTTATTTTAATATGAATAATAACTCACTGGTAGTTTGCACGAATGTTGGAAGAATCTGTTTCAAAAAATGACCGGTCATTACTTCCTTTGCACGAATGTTGGAAGAAACTGTTTCAAAAAAATGACCGGTCATTACTTCCTTCGCACGAATGTTGGAAGAAACTGTTTCAAAAAAATGACCGGTCATCAGTTCTCATTTAAATGATAGCTAATAACATTCAATCGGATTAAATTCAGCTTTAACTTCTTATAATTTGTATCTAATCTGAAAATGTTCTGGTCTCAATTCTTTCTACAATTACCATTCTGTATCGCTTGAATCTTGAATTAACTTCAGTTTTTTCCTTTTTTTTTCCTTAATAGAAAGACCTTACCAAGTCCTGTGTCCTTTCGAATCGCATTACTATAAGTATAAAATGAGCATATATACTTATTTCCATCGCATAACTTCAGGAATGAAATTTGATTTACTCTATTCCATTAAGTGATCTAATTTGTCTTCCAGACAGTTCTTGACCTTCCGTGTCGAGCGATTGCCATTCAAGCAGAGCAGCATCCAACACTTCTCACTAATGATTCGGATACAGTAACCGCTCATCAAATTGATAGCGGTAAGAAAATCTTTTTTTTTGAATTTTTTTGATTAATAGGCTCCAGTAATTACCAATTACATGAAGGTGGAATACAAAAGTCGACTCATGGAAGTGGAATATCGCCTAGTCTATTGATGTATGATTTTAAACGAACTTAATGAAGCTTGGTAACATTGTCATCAGGTAACTTTTAGGAACAACAACTGCTTGTGAGATATCAGAAACCGAGGTGTTGGCAATGCTCCCACCGGATTGGGCACTGAATACAGCACACGGAATTGATGAAAACAGTTGGAACCGGAATATTTTATCGTGGCCTCGTCCTTCGTGTAGATGGCTTGAGAAATTCTTCGATTCAATCTTTCCACCGGATGAAACACAAGAAACAGTTCCACCCTGTACAGCAAGTCGATAAATTCAACAAAGTTTTGAGCAAAATTACAGGGAATTGTCAAATTTAAATAAGAAATTTATTTGACAATCATATTTTGCATAAAATAAACCAACACTTCCTTTTTCTAAATTCCAAAAATTGTTGTGCGCAATGGGAACGATCTGTGTGGAATTTCGACGATAACACAACTACAAGTAAGTTGTAAGGGGACATACTGCACTGTTGAATCAACCACAAACTTGTGCAAATGATTTCTCAAACAAAAGTCACTTCAGTATCCCTTATGACTCTTACCATGAAGTTTCATGTCAACAATGACTAGTTCGACTAGTTGTCCCCTGTAACTATCGTCGGTGAAATCACAATCTACGAACACAATTTCATGATTGCAGTATTTGTACAATATAAATAGCTAAACAACAATGATTGTGTCAACTAATCATACCTGTTCATTTCCTTTTCCAGTGTGTTGTTCGGATTGCTTTGTTTTCATCTTTTCATCATAACTTATAAAAATAGATCAACAAAATGATGGATTTGAATCTGTAATACAGAAGAAAGTGGATGAAGTGAATATTATTAAGCAATTTCAATTGTATGATCTATCAGTTAATCGATTACAGTAAAAGTATATTTCCTGTACTTTTGTTTATCTTCTCTGCATGACAACCTTCATTGACAATCTCTTATGGTAAATACCATCAGCAATGTCATCGTCACAACAAATGAAGGTATTGTAACAATGATCCAATCTATTCACCATTACTTCCTCTCTTCCAACCATTGATTGCTACCATCGCGCATATCTTTAATCCATTTGGCGCCTCCATCCCTTTTACCAATTTTTAAAATGTAAATTATATCGATAACAGAAGACAGCATTTCACTATTTATAAAGGTGATTTGCTTCCGGATACTTCAATGGGTTATCCAGTCATATCAGGTGGCTAAGTTGACCTGCCTCTCATATAACACATTTTTATGCTGAGTTGACCTGTCTCTCATATAACCCGTTTTTATTCTAATATCCTAATTATTATGTATTATTAATTAAAAAGTAGACTGCAAACATGACAAGAATCTAAATTATTAATATTAATCACGAAGAGTAGCAGTGGTAAAATATGTTTTAGATTTGTCCATTCCTAATAACAATTTACCCCGCTGTTTACAGATATTTTTGTTATCCAAGCTGCATATTCCCGAGATATGAACTCTGCTTATCAAGAACTTGTCATCCAATCTCGAAATGCTTTTCAATTTAGCTATTATAACTTATCATTTAAGAGCTATTTTCGTACGGAAAAAGGACCCTTTTATTACTTATCATTTAATCAATGTTTTGCAAAACATCCCATTCCTAACATCCCATTTCTAATAATATCCCGGGATTTTACCTTGCAACTACCTTTAGATGGATATTATGTTTGAAGTTATTGTGAAGTTTATATACTGCATCCTATCAATCCACGATGGCGCATTTGTCGACATATACATCTCCCGTTATTCAATCTTTCCTCCGGGATTTTCCTTGGCATGTAACGATATGTTCCGTTCAGTTTATCCTTTTGCTCTTTTCTTCACATAGATAATTTCCTATACCGAACATTTTCCAATTTCGGGATTACTGTTATAAGAGCAAAGATGATTAGTTCATTGTTCTCTCCAGTGAATTGCAATTTAAATACTTTCTGAGAAATGACAGTTGGAAATGTTTGGGAAAGAAAAAGGAAATCCTGAGATCAATCTTGGTTATATCATAATGATAGTATGATATAGACGTTATCAAGTCCTACTCTAATACTACTCTGAGAATATAGAAATCTGATATGAGCAACAAAATGAGAGAGACGTTTTCATTGCATTTTAGCCGCATTAAATTCGAAGTCACATCGAGTTGCAGTTCGGTTAAGCGGATTACATTTCATTGTATGCTATTGTTTGTTACTCTCTCCTCTGCTTGTGATTTACATCGGGACATTTTAGGATAGAAGTTTTGAAATTTAGTGGCAAATATTCCAGAAGTTTCAGAATTTAATAGCAAACAGTGAGTATTTTATCAGCAAATATTTCTTTTCAAAATTCTACATCATTAACGATATCACTTCATCATATCTTTGGGACATTTTAGATTTAGTAGCGAACAATGAGTTAACATTGAACATTTCCCAAATCACCCCTGTTGATGTCAAATGGACTTGCAGGTTTTTCGCATATATAAGATAGATTGTGTGTTATCCACAGCCACTTATCGAACAATTCCTTATGATTCTGGTGCAAGTCTTCTTCCGCTGTTGATGTTTCACTCCACATCTTCCTCTTTATATGCTTACTTACTTCATTACTGATAGTAAGAAAGCTTTTGCGATGTGTATCTTCATTTCTTAACTTCGACAAAACATTGATGATTTGATGTTCTTTGCAGGAAGAAATGAACGTAGAGCTTTCTTTGAAAGACTTGAAAGCGCTTTTGGACGATAATAACATAGACTTAAGTATGCGTCAGCTAGTATCGATCCCAGTAAAAGCTTTGGTAAGTTTTTGGTTCTCTAAAAAACTAATTGCACTTAGCGTTGTCTTGTTTCTCAAATTGTTTTTTACGAATGAGTGAGGGAGCACTTCTCGATATTTTGAATTCTATATAAAATTTGTTTGTTTCCTATATGTCTAAATGTTTTACGGCACACTTTTGCAGAGTAAAATTCCACGTGCCACATACCTCGACTTTTCGAATAATTTAATAACATCGATTCCATCAGATTTCTGCTTGTTAACGCATGTCACCAAGTTAGATCTCAGCAACAACCGTATCGTCCATTTACCGGAAGAATTTGGCAAGCTAACCAACCTCGTTCATCTCGACCTTTACAAAAATGAAATTGAAGTAAAATAACATTCTACGATAGTTTAATATGTTTTAATATAGGTCGTTCTGTGTTAATCCTACATGTACAGTTCAAGTTGTACCATTGTCTAGTTTGTTCAAAGCATTCTGATAATTTGAGTTTTTTTTTTTCAAGTATAATTTGACGAAGGATTAAGATTACTCACATTGACAAAACGAGCGGTAGTATTACAGGAACTGCCGTTATCTTTTGGTGATCTGGTTTCACTAAAATGGTTGGATTTAAAAGGCAATCCTTTACAATTAGAACTTTCGCAAGCAGCAGGCGAGTGTTTGGATGAAAAAGGTTGCAAAACGGCCGCTTTGAATGTTGTACGACTCATGCACGATCAATCTATCAAACAGCAACAACTTCTTGAAAAACAGAAATCTGTCAAAAAACGTATGTTTCTGTTCTTTAAATGACACGGATACAAAATGCATGACCTGACAAGACCAGGCCCCACTTAAAACAATTTCTGATTAAATTATTTTTGGATATACAAAGGTTATAAAGTTATAGCATCCATTAGCAACATTTTTGATAAGTAATGATATCTTTTGTTGGAGTTTTGCAGAAAATAAGAATTTTGAATGCCATATTGATGTGAGAATCTATAACCAAAAAGAATGGAGCTTTTGAAAGTAAATCATCGTAATTGAAAGTGAAAAGAGGTATTTGATTTGATTTTTTTTAGAATTCGAGGACAACGATACAGTCAATCACGGACCAGCTGTGCAAAAAGAAAAAACAAAGAAAAAGAAAAATAAGCACCGAGATCTGGTTAATGAACATTTGGAGCCAACGACGGAACATGCGCAACGAAATGGTAATTTCATCGTATGTTCAATTGGTCATATTGCATTTCTGGATATATCATTTGTTTTCTATTTATTTTATAAATCTTTGTTTTTTATGTAATTCATTTATTTTAATATCTTACCAATTGTTGAAAGTTCCAAAAAAGATTTTTTTCCTTGTGCCACAAAATAAACACCATTGTGTATCAGGATATGAACATTTTTTTTTCATTAGGTAATAGTCTCTATTGCTAACAAGTGTTTCATTTTAGCACCTCGGGCTGTACCAAGAAAGGACGAAAAGGCAAGTCATGAGACGAAAAAAAACAAAAAATGCACCTCCAACAATGGCCAGTTCTTTTTCTTTTCAAATATTACTAATCTGCTCCGCAACACCTACGAAGTAAGACAGGAAATCAAATCACACTATCTGTCTTACGGCAATCGAAATTGTTAATGGAAAATAACTTGTTGATTTAGTATTGTTTAAGTAGGATGTTGTCAATGAATCCATGCAATTCATTTGGAATAGTAAGAGGTAAGTATAGACTAGTGCAGTGAACATTGTCAAATATTGTTATTCTACTCCACTCCTTTTAGTGATATCCTTTTGGTGGAGGATTTTAACTATTTCGTTCATCTTCACGTTGGCTATCTCCGTATCTGTTGTTGCTATGGTAGTGACCAACTGTTTTGGTGAACCGCGGCGCTGGTCCTTGTCATCGAAACCGTTCTGTGAGGATCTACAAACAGTAGTAACAGAACATTCAGTTGGTTTAAATTTTGCACCTTATAAATTTAAATAATGAATTTATTATTTGCACCTTTACTGTTGTGCCTTACCTCCCTAAAATTGTTTAATTTTAGTAAATCACGAAAATTAAAATAACACTTTCGTAACTTGACTTTATTTACATGGAGATAAATCTAAAAAAAAAAATTGTTTCGCCTTGCAGAACTTTAGACATGATCGATTTTCAGTTTCCATTAACGATATCTGGTAATTTCTTCCTTTCGATTACGTCACTGTTGAAATCGTATATGGATGCTGCCGGTACAGCTTGGCAGGAGTTCGAGCACGATAATGATTTAGTTGCTGTTATTAAAGATTCTTATTATTTACTTTATATGAAATTGGTCTCAGTGGGATTACTAGTGCAAGGCTACGCGGTGTACAAGGTATGTTTTCATTTCTCGTTTATCAGTTTGGTTGAATTCACATGTTTTTATTTTAAAATTCACTAATAACCTATTTAAACTAATGATAATTTATAAAATTCGTCTTAATATTTTCCGAATATTTCGTGCGCATGCCCATGAACGTAGTCATAGCATTTGTATACCATGAAGGATAAATTTCTTTCAATGGCCAAAAAGCATGAGATAGTTTATCACTTGTTTTGAATACGATTACATTTTTACTCTTTTGGCGCAGAACCTCCAAGGAATAATTGTATATCCTTTTCAGAATTTAAATTTTTGATATTTCTCATTAGGCAACGGAAAAAAAATCATGCTCAGTATGGTAGAGAAGAATCTGATGATTCATGATATAAATAGATTTGTTTGATAATGAAGTCCGCTAAAAACTCTTCGGTCATGTCTCTTGATTTTTTATATTTTGGTGTGGTGCAACTTTTGAACGAATTCTCAAGGAAGATGAATTTTATTCATTTTATTCAAAACTTAATTATTTCAAAAACTTTCATATGTTATTTCTTATAGTACGAGAATTTCATAGCTTTTTATAATGCATATGTTGCTGATGCTGTTAATAATGCTCTGAAGAATATATGGCTTTTACTGAGGATATTTGGCTTGATGTTCGCTGATTTATTGATGCTTATTGTTGGTAAGCACTTGTTATACTTTTTCAAGTGTAGGTGAGAGGGGGGAGGTCCTTTCGATTAGGTTTAGGAAAATGCTATTTCATTTTTTTGGGATCGAAACTCATAATCAACAAAGATTCACGCGGCATGAATTATTATTTTAAAAATTCTATGATGTAAGACTCGATTTGGGCACTTTCAATGGTAGATTGGTAGACGCATAGTCACTTCTGTCAGCTGAGACCATACGAAGAGTTTTTAAACCACTATTGATTATGGACTTGTCATACTAATTGCTTATAATACACGAAAAAATGTTCTCGTGCCAAAAACGATTCAGATTTTATGAAGCATTGCAGGCGAAGGTTTCCTCTTCATTTCGTCGGTTGTCGAAACGATATTTACATTCGCGTACAGAGGTGATCAGCTGGCGGAAGTATTGCAAAACTGGTGGAGTAGAGTGAAATAGGGCAGTGATAGATCTTTTGCTTTCTTAGCAAAACACTGTTCCTCTCATTTTTTGCGGGTATCTATGTTTCTTTTAGTATGTATCAGTGAAACATAGAGTGAAGAACTTTTAATTACGTTAGAAAACATGTTAATCCTTAAACAGTCTTTTATCTCTTGTAATTTTTGCAGATTATTCTCGGTTTACGCTGTAATACACGTTCAAGTGAACCGGAAATTATTTTGTTTCATGCATAGATACTGTGGAAGGGAAACTCAGTAGTATAAAGCCATTAGATGTTCTCTGTGGTGATTCGTATTACTAGGATTCATAAAATTGCACAAATCCATTCCCTTTCCACACTCATGTGCATTTGTCTGTTATCATTTTAGTCGCAATACTGTTACAATGTTAACTAAATTAAAGTTTGTTTATTGAAAAGTTCCTAGGAATTGGCATCTGTTAACTTATTGAAATATGGTAGTGCAAATCCATTATATATATATATATATATATATATATATATATATATATATATATATATATATATATATATATATATATATATATATATATATATATATATATATATATTATTAT